CACAGCCTCAGCTCCTTCAGCATTTAAAAGCACGGGAAGCGCAGCTCCTCACCTCAGCTGCAAATCCTCCGCTCCCTGCTTCACGCTGTCCGTTTTCACTCGGGCCCAGAGGCCGATGGGCTCCGCCAGCAGCTCCCCGATGCGGCCCTGCAGCGACGTCAGCCACTGCACGCAGGATGCCAGCGCACTCTCCAGCCGGCCCAGCTTTCGGTAGCTTTCCACCTGCAGCCTGAAGCATCTGTGCAGCTGCAGGGAGAGCACAGAGATGCTTCAGCACCCTGCGTGCCCGCCAAGCCCTGCAGCTGCTCCCCCTTCCCGGGAACAGCAGTTGGTCTGCAGCCTCTCCTCCGCTCCTGTGCCACCAGGTTGCAGCTCAAACCCTTCGACGTGAAGCTGCTCACCTTTTCAGGGGGTATCTCTGGAAATCCAAAGGCATCGATTTTCTTCAGTCTCTTGCAGAAGAGCTCAGAGATGGAGCTGGCTTCCTCGTGAAGGTTCTGGCTGTAGAAGATGTACGCCAGCTTAAACGTGCACGATGCTGTTGAGAGGAAAGAAAATGAATACTGAAGACGTGTTGGGAAGGGATTACCCCACTCGCTCCTCTCCCAGCAGCAGGCCAGCCCCTTGGCCACATGTTCTGGGAGGCAGAGGGACCCTTCTCCCTTGGTGCTCCCCAGACCACAAGCAGGAGGAAGATGCTAAGCTGTGTGCGACCACGTTTGCCCCAACCCGATGCCAGGGAAGCAGGCTTGGTGCTATGAGGATGCTGACCGGTAATGTCGAGGTACTTGGCTTGCTCCCCCTGGGGAAGTCCCTCCAGAGCCTCCAGCAGCTGCATCACGGTGTCCTGGCAGCCCGATGTCAGCTGCTCCTGCCCTGACCACCCGGCCACCTGCGAGGGATGCAGTCAGAGCTGTGAGGTTCCATGGAGAGCCTCTCAGGGACCGCAGGCACATCCCTGGGGAGCTCCAGCAGCCCCTGTGAGCCCCATTAGATGCTGTCCCCATCACCTGCAGTACCTGGCAGGAGCGGAAGGTGTCACAGGCCATGGTGGTGAAGAGCTGGAGGCTGTGGTACAGCAGCTGCTTCAGCACAAGTTGCTGCTTCAAGCCATCAGGAGGAACCTGAGGGAGAAAGAAGAAAATCAACTGCATGGCCACAGCAGCAGCAGGACCGGTGGGGACAGGAACACCACTGCCACGAGTGCAAGGCTCGCAATGCCTCCAGCAGTCCTAATTAACAGGACAGCCCTCATTAACCCCCCAAAGCCTCACCACGTCCAGCAGCAGGCTGAGGACACGGCAGTGGCCCTGCACAAAGGCGCAGAGCTGGAGCACGTCCTCCCGAGGCAGCGGCTGCTGCTGGCTGCTCCTGGCACGCTCAGCGAGGGACGCGGAGACGAACTGGCAGCCCTCGGCCAGCACCCTGAGGAAGCGCCCTGACGCCTTCGCTGCACCACCCAGCGCCGCCGACGCCTGTGCCAGGGCCGGCCCTGCTGAGCCCCCGTTCTTGGCCAGCACCCGGCTCAGCCGCACGCCGCCCTCCAGCAGGGCCAGGGCCTGGCCGAACACCTCGGAGCCCCCCAGGAATCCTCGCGCGTCCCTCAGCGCCGCCTCAGCCTCCCCGTAGCAGCCGTTCTTGCAGAGCTGCCGGCACTGCTCCAACGTCAGCTCCAAGAAGCAAAGGGCCTGGGGCAGAGCAGGCGGCCGCGTCGCATCCTCGCGCAGGGAGTTCAGGACACCCCGCAGCTCCTGGGCAAAGCAAGCCGAGGATGGAGCGTGGTGGGCTTTGGAGAGAGCGGCAGCCGCCAGCGCCTGCCGGGCTGTCTGCGAGGTGAAGAAGGGCGGCTCCAAGGGCAGCACGGCCCCCTCCTCGTCCTCCAGGAGCAGCAGGAAGCGCAGGGCCTGCAGGCGGTCCCCCAGCGTCCCCGCCGCGTTCCACAGCGTGCAGAAGGCGCTGTGGGCAACGGCACCGAAGTCGGCAGACGGCGCACGGCGCTGCCGGTGAGCGCAGAGCTGAGCGTGGAGGAGCTCCGCCGCCCGCCTGCGGGCATCGCGGTGGCCGCGGGCAGCCGCGTTCTTCAGCAGGTGGAAGAGGATCTTCTCCAGGTAGAGAGGGGCCGGCGGGGCGGTGGAGGCGGTGACGAAGCCCCTGCAAGCCGCTTGGGCCAACGCCAGCACTTTGTTGGTGTGTGTGAGGCTGCAGCTGGGCTCTGCCAGGCGCTGCACGCAGGCCCGCAGGATGCGGTCGCACACCGCGCTCTGCACGCTGCCCGGCACAGCCGTGATGCTGGAGAGGCATTGCTGCAGAGGGGATGGAAAAAGGGCATTGGTGTCCAACTGGGGATCACTCAGCAAAGAGGTGGGACCCCCCCATCCCCCCTCAGCTCACCGACAGCTCTGTGAGCAGCTCCTCTGTGCCCTCCGGGCTGGCGGTGAGGGACACAAAGTCGGCGCCTTTGAGGCGCTTCATGGCAGCACTGGGGGTGCAGAGGTGGGGTGAGGTGGGCTGGAAGGGGGGCACAGATGCCCCACTGTGTGCAGTCCGCCCAACCTGAGCTCCCATTTCCCCCAAAAATCCCTACACCCTCAGTGCTAAGTGTCTCCCTGAGCCCCGGTGTCCCCTCCCTCCCACCCCCCCCAGAGCTCACAACAACCCCACTCCCCACCCCCCAGAGCTCCCAAAGCTCCACGCTCCCCTCAAATGCTCACAGCCCATCCCCCCCAAAGGGCCCTCAGGCGTCAGACTTCCC